GGAAACATGCTGCACTTGCTCTTTCCCCTTGCCTGCATCGGTGCTGCCTACCCTGTGTCTCGTCGGCCCAGCCCCACCGCTGCCGTCACCCACCATGATGTCGCCCGGGGTGATGTGCGAAAATTAAAAAAACGGATATGGCTAATGGAGGAGGACAAGAAGAAGAAGAGGAGGAGGAAGAAGAAGATGATGAAAAAAAGGGAGAAGAAGAGTAGGACGAGGAGGTAGAGGAAGAAGAAGAAGACGAACGTAAGGAAGATGAAGCAGCTTCGGAAAAAAAAATAAAATTAAACGGCTATGGCTAACGGAGGAGGAGAAGCGGAGGAGGAGGAGAAGAGGAGGAGTAGGTGGAAGATGAAGAAAATGATGAAGAGGGAGAGAAGAAGAGGAGGAGGAGGAGCAGGAAGAAGAAGAAGAAGAAGAAGAAGAAGAAGAAGAAGAAGAAGAAGAAGAAGAACGCGAGGAAGATGAAGCAGCTTCGGAAAAAAAAAACATCGACGGTTATGGCTAACGGAGGAGGAGGAGGAGGAGGAAGAAGAAGAAGATGACGAAGATGAGGGAGAGAAGAAGAGGAGGAGGAGGAGGAGGAGGAGGAGGAGGAAGATGAAGAAGAAGAACGTGAGGGAGATGAAGCAGCTTCGGAAAAAAAAAAAATGATGAAGAAGAGGGGAGAGAAGAAGAGGAGGAGGAGGAAGAAGAAGAAGAAGAAGAAGAAGAAGAAGAAGAAGAACGCGAGGAAGATGAAGTAACTTCGGGAAAAAAAAAAACATTGACGGCTATGGCTAACGGAGGAGGAGAAGAGGAGGAGGAGGAGGAGGAAGAAGAAGAAGATGACGAAGAAGAGGGAGGAGAAGAAGAGGAGGAGGAGTACGAAGAAGAGGGAGAGAAGAAGAGGAGGAGGAGGAGGAGGAGGAAGACGAAGAAGAACGTGAGGGAGATGAAGCAGCTTCGAAAAAAAAAAAATGATGAAGAAGAGGGGAGAGAAGAAGAGGAGGAGGAGGAGGAAGAAGAAGAAGAAGAAGAAGAAGAAGAAGAAGAAGAAGAAGAAGAAGAAGAAGAAGAACGCGAGGAAGATGAAGCAGCTTCGAAAAAAAAAACCATTGACAGCTATGGCTAACGGAAGAGGAGAAGAAGAGGAGGAAGAAGAAGAAGAAGATGAAGAAGAGGGAGGAGAAGAAGAGGAGGAGGAGGACGAAGAAGAGGGAGAGAAGAAGAGGAGGAGGAGGAGGAGGAAGACGAAGAAGAAGAAGAACGCGAGGGAGATGAAGCAGCTTCAATTTTTTTTTTTAAATAACGGCTATGGCTAACGGAGGAGAAGAAGGAAGAAGAAGAAGAAGATGAAGAAGAAGAGGAAGGAGAAGAAGAGGAGGAGGAGGAGGAGGAAGAAAATGACGAAGAAGAGAGGAGAAAATAAGATCAGGAGGACGACGACGACGACGACGACGACGACGACGAAGAAGAAGAAGAAGAAGAAGAAGAAGAAGAAGAACGCAAGGAAGATGAAGCAGCTTCGGAAAAAAAAAAAAAGTAATGGCTATGGCTAACGGAGGAGGAGGAAAAGAGGAGGAGGAGGTGGAGGAGGAAGAAGAAGAAGAAGATGACGAAGAAGTGGGAGGAGAAGAAGAGGAGGAGGAGGGAGAAGAAGATAACGAAGAAGAGGGAGGAGAAGAGGAGGAGGGAGAAGAATATAACGAAGAAGAGGGAGGAGAAGAAGAAGAAGAAGAAGAAGAAGAAGAAGAACGCAAGGGAGTTGAAGCAGCAACGGAAAAAAAAATAAAAAAATGGCTATGGCTAACGGAGGAGTAGGAGAAGAAGAGGAGGCGGAGGATGGAGAAGAAGAAGAAGATGATAAAGAAGAGGGAGGAGAAGAAGAGGAGGAGGAGGAGGAGGAAGAAGAAAATGACGAAGAAGAGGGGAGAAAAGAAGAGGAGGAGGAGAAGGAGGAGGAGAAGAAGAAGAAGAATGCAAGGGAGTTGAAGCAGCAACGAAAAAATAAAATAAAAATTAACGGCTATGGCTAATGGACAAGGAGGCGAAAAAGAGGAGGAGGAGGAGGGAGAAGAAGAAGATGGCAAAGAAGAGGGAGGAGGAGAAGAAGAGGAGGAGGAGGAGGTAGAAAATGACGAAGAAGAGGGGACAGAAGAAGAGGAGGAGGAGCAGCAGCAGCAGGAGGAGGAGGAAGAAGAAGAAGAAGAAGAAGAAGAAGAAGAAGAACGCAAGGGAGTTGAAGCAGCAACGAATAAAATAAAATAAAATAAATGTCTATGGCTAATGGAGGATGAGGAGAAGCAGAGGAGGAGGAGGAGGGAGAAGAAGGAAAAGATGACGAAGAAGAGGGAGGAGAAGAAGAGGAGGAGGAGGAGGGAGAAGAAGAAGATGACGAAGAAGAGGGAGGAGAAGAAGACGAGGAGGAGGAGGAAGAAGAAAATGACGAAGAAGAGGGGAGAGAAGAAGAAGAAGAAGAAGAAGAAGAAGAAGAAGAAGAACGCAAGGAAGATGAAGCAGCAATAAAAAAAATAAAAAATTAAACGGCTATGGCTAACGGAGGAGGAGGAGAAGAGGAGGAGGAGGAGGAGGAAGAAAAAGAAGAAGATGACCAAGAAGAGGGAGGAGAAGAAGAGGAGGAGGAAGAGGAGGAAGAAGAAATGACGAAGAAGAGGGGAGAGAAGAAGAGGAGGAGGAGGTTGGAGAAGAAGAAGAAGAAGAAAAACGCAAGGAAGAGAAAGCAGCTTCGAAAAAAAAAGAAAATTAACGGCTATGTTTAACGGAGGAGGAGGAGAAGAGGAGTAGGAGGAGGAGAAGGAAGAAGATGATGAAGAAGAGGGAGGAGAAAAAGAGGAGAAGAGGAGGAGGAGGATGAAGAAGAAGATGATGAAGGAGCAGCGAGGAAGGAGAAGATGACGAAGAAGAGGGAGGAGGAAGAGGGAGAAGAAAATGATGAAGAAGAAGGTAGAGAAGAAGAGGAGTAGGGAGGAGGAGGAGGAGAAGAAGAAGAAGAAGAAGAAGAAGAAGAAGAAGAAGAAGAAGAATGCAAGGGAGTTGAAGCAGTAACGAAAATAAAAATTAAAATTTAACGGCTATGGCTAACGGATGAGGAGGGGAAGAAGAGGAGGAGGAGGAGGAGGGAGGAGAAGAAGAAGAAATAGAAGAAGAGAAGGAGAAGAAGAAGAGGAGGAGGAGGAGGAGGAAGAAGAAAATAACAAAAAAGAGGGGAGAGAAGAAGAAGAAGAAGAAGAAGAAGAAGATAGCGAAGAAGAGGAAGGCGAAGAAGAAGATAATGAAGAAGAGGGAGGAGACGAAGAAGAGGATGCGGAAGAGGGAGGAGAAGACGAAGAGGATGGGAGGACGAGGAGAAAGAAAACAACGAAGAAGAGAGGAGAGAAGAAGAGGAGGAGGGGGAGGAGCAGGAGGAGGAGGAGGAGGAGGAAGAAGAAGAAGAAGACGAAGAAGAAGGAAACGCAAGGGAGTTTAAGCAGCAACGAAAATCATAAAAGTAAAATGAACGACTATGAATAACGGAGGAGGAGGAGAAGAAAAGGAGGAGGAGGAGGAGGAGGAGGAAGAAGAAGAAGAAGAAGAACGCAAGGGAGTTGAAGCAGCAACAAAAAAAATAAAAATAAAATAAACGGCTATGGCTAACGGAGGAGGAGGAGAAGAGGAGGAGGATGAGCAGGGAGAAGAAGAATAAGATGACTAAAGTGAGGGAGGAGAAGAAGAGGAGGAGGAGGAGGAAGAAGAAAATGATGAAGAAGAGGGGAGAGAAGAAGAGGAGGAGGAAGAAGAAGAAGAAGAAGAAGAAATAGAAAAATGCAAGGGAGTTGAAGCAGCAACGAAAAAAAATAAAAAATTAAACTGCTATGGCTAACGGAGGAGGAGGAGGGAGAAGAAGAAGAAGATGACAAAGAAGAGGGAGGAGAAGAAGAGGAGGAGGAGGAGGAAGAAGGAAATGACGAAGAAGAAGGGAGAGAAGAGAGGAGGAGGAGGAAGAAGAAGAAGAAGATGATGAAGAAGAGGAAGGAGAAGAAGAGGAGGAGGAGGAGGAAGAAGAAGACAATGACGAAGAAGAGGGGAGAGAAGAGGAGGAGGAGGAGGAAGAAGAAGAAGAAGAAGAAGAAGAAGAAGAAGAAGAAGAAGAAGAAGAACGCAAGGGAGTTGAAGCAGCAACGAATAAAATAAAATAAAACAAATGGCTATGGCTACCGGAGGAGGAGGAGAAAAAGAGGAGGAGGAGGAGGAGGGAGAAGAAGAAAAAGATGATGAAGAAGAGGGAGGAGAAGAAGAGGAGGAGGGAGAAGAAGATAGATGACGAAGAATAGGAGGAGGAGGAAGAAGAACATGACGAAGAAGAGGGGAGAGAAGAAGAGGAGGAGGAAGAGGAAGAAGAAAAATAAAAAGAAGGCGAAGAATAATAATAAGAAGAAGAAGAAGAAGAAGAAGAAGAACACAAGGGAGTTGAAGCAACAATGAAAAAAATTAAAAAATTAAACGGCTGTGGCTGACGGAGGAGGAGGAGAAGAAGAGGAGGAGGAGGAGGGGGAAGAAAAAGAAGAAGACCAAGAAGAGGGAGGAGAAGAAGAGGAGGAGGAAGAGGAGGAAGAAGAAATGACAAAGAAGAGGGGAGGGAAGAAGAGGAGGAGGAGGAGGTGGGAGAAGAAGAAGAAGAATGCAAGGAAGAGAAAGCAGCTTCGATAAAAAAAGAAAATTAACGGCTATGTTAACGGAGGAGGAGGAGAAGAGGAGGAGGAGGAGGAGGAAGTAGAAGACGATGAAGAAGAGGGAGGAGAAAAAAGAGGAGTAGCAGGAGGAGGGAGAGGAAGAAGAAGATGAGGAAGATGAGGGAGGAGGAAGAGGGAGAAGAAAATGATGAAGAAGAGGGTAGAGAAGAAGAGGAGTAGTAGGGAGGAGGAGAAGAAGAAGAAGAAGAAGAAGAAGAATGCAAGGGAGTTGAAGCAGCAACGAAAATAAAAATAAAAATTTAACGGCTAGGGCTAACGGATGAGGAGGAGAAGAAGAGGAGGAGGAGGAGGGAGAAGAAGACGAAGATGATGAAGAAGAGGAAGGAGAAGAAGAGGAGGAGGAGGAGGAGGAGGAAGAAGGAAAGGACGAAGAAGAGGGGAGAGAAGAAGAGGAGGAAGAGGAGGAGGGAGAAGAAGAAGAAGAAGAAGAAGAAGAAGAAGAAGAAGAAGAAGAAAAAGATAGTGAAGAAGAGGGAGGAGAAGAAGAAGATAACGAAGAAGAGGGAGGAGAAGAAGAAGAGGACGCGGAAGAGGGAGGAGAAGGCGAAAAGGACAGGGAGGACGAGGAGGAAGAAAACAACGAAGAAGAGGGGGGAGAAGAAAAGGAGGAGGAGGAGGAGGAGGAGGAGGAGGAGGAG